TTAATTAAAAACTGAAATAAATCTAAAATAATTACATCATAAATGATTACCATTAAATGAAAATTCATGAAAAAATAAAATATATTATAAATATTATAAAAATTTATTAGATATATTATAAAATTATTGTAAAAATATTTTTATATTTCTGTTAATTCAATAATATCTAAGTTGTTAAAATATTTCTAAAATATGTTAAAATTATAATACAAAAAAAAATTAATGTAATTAAAATATATTAAATATATAATAATCATATTTTTTAATAAAGAAAAAATAATCAAATAGCAGAAGAACTCTCCCTATCAATCACTTGAACCAAATTTTCTTACTAGCAAAAACAAAATTTTCTTTGCTAGAGAGTTGCCTATATAGCTATATATAGTAGAATAACACTATATAACGGTTTTTATAAAGGTCAACTAGTCTGCTAGCTAGGGACTTCTCTATATATTCGATATACAAGCCAAAAGCATTGGTATACAAGATAACTAGCAAGAAGGTAGTGTCCTTGTTTACAAAATTTTGGTAGAGTATAAAGTACATACTGTTGATGAAGTTTATAGTGGTAAAACAAAGAGGAATAGCAAAGAAATGAGCTTTTCAATACACTTCTTAGAAAATTTAAAGATCATAGCCCCAAGATCCCTCTTTTATATTCTTGCTCTATTTTGGTATTTTTTTAGGAATTTTTTTGTCAAAAGGTAGGAAATCCGATATACCCTCTCCAAAAGATCTACAATGTTTACCAATTCCAAATTAGAAACAGATATTGCCAAAATAGGCCCTAAAATAGTACAGAAAGGCTACCATGTACATCTGAAGCTTCTAGAAAATTCTAGCAGGTTTTACTTTATTCCAAATATATAGATACATATAATGCATTAAATTAGAGTCAAGTATTATATAATTTTTATAATAATTAGACTAAGATCTAACATATATACTGTCTTGTACTCTTTTTTTTCAATTTTTTTTTCTCTTGTCTGTATTTTGTTTTTTGTTTTTTCTTGTTTTTTCTTTTTCTTTCCCTTTTTTTTTTTTCATTTTCTTGGTAAATTCATTTAGTTAGTTCTCCACTTTATCCTTTTGCCCTTTTTGAAGAAGAAAAAATTTAAGAAAAAGTAGTCTTGATAAAGCTAGTAATAAGCTTCTTAATGAATCAGAGGATATAGCTTTAGAAAATTAGAGCCCCAATGAGAAAAGGTATTATTGCTACATAAGGTTGCACATAGGTACCTCGGTAACTAGATGAGTCTTTATTATATAAGAAGAGAAATTTATATAGTTTCTATATAATTTTTTGTAGTAGCCTATTACTATTACCTCTTATAATAAAGGCAGAACTATGTATAAAAAAAAAAAATAAATAAATAAAAAATAATTATAATATTTAAATGAATAACAATAATAGTAAATCTACTTGTTATTATAAATAATAGTTACTTGTTATACAATTTATTTATTGAATATAGAATTATATATCATATAAAAAAATTAAAACAAATAAGATTTTTTAAAAAATCATTTATAACTACAAATTTTTATTATGAAACTATTTTTTGTTTACTAATAAAAAATATTCCTTGACCAATTTTACATATAATTTGTTTATTTTAAATTTTAATTATAATTTCAATTTAGAAATATTTAGCATTAATTTTGTAATTTTTCTTTTAAAAAATTTTTATTAGCTGTTAAAAATGTGTTAACAAGTTAGATATTATTAAGTTAACATTATCAAATTAAATTACATAATCAAAATTAAATTTTATCTATATTATATTTATATTTTATTTATGTTGTAAACATATTTAGCAAAAAACAGTTTCTGTAAAGTAGTTATTAGATATTGGGCATACGATGAAAAATTTCATGTTATTTTTTTATGTCCAATATTGATGTTATTGTTCATATTATATAATCATGTGAAGTTTTTTGTCATGACATTTTACATAAATGACGATGCCATTTTATGACAAAAATATCAAGGCAAAAAATTTTTACATGATCATATCACATGAACAATAATAAATATTTACGAACTTGAATAATAATTTTCAAATACCTCAGTTTGTAAACATTTATTTTTCACTTATTATACTCTAAAAATTAACATTAAATTAATAATGAATAAAATGAATTGAAATATTTTGATTAGAGATTCCGAATTGTGCATTAATGCACATGATTCTGAATCATGCACATTTTATCCTATTTCTAAACTTGATATAGTATCTAAATATCTTATCTATTTAATTAGTATAATAAAGCAAAGTTAATGAAGTTGTACAAGGATAAATATTCACGAACTTAATGAATTAGAATCTTCATAAATTAATTTAGTGAAAATGAATATTTAATCAATGTGAATAAAATTAATGTAAATAAAATTGGTGCGAATAAAACAAACAATCGATTAATATGTATATTTAATTAATGTGTATTTTCGTGTGGTAGTTCTGATCAACTCATCAGCAATCATTCACAGACATTTTGGTTCACTGACAATTAATTTATAAAAATTAGCAATGCTACAATGATGAGGATATATCAGAAACTTTTAAATGTTTAATCTTTCAATTGCAAAACTTTTTGGATACCACTAGCATCATCTTTTATACATCCTTGGCTTCATCAACAATTTGTCTCGTAAGTTTATTTTACTTTTTTTTTTAAAAAAAAAAAAATCATAAAAATCTAGATACAGTTATTTGCATAAAAAATAACCTTAAATTATTATTATTTTTTTGTTGTCAACAGAATTCCCTTAAAGGTTTGGTTGGAATCCGATTTCAAATATAGGAAGGTAATTATCAGCCATATTAATACGGTCATCAAAAAACGTTTTTATGATAAAAAGAGATTAGGTAATGCTTGAGTTGATCCAGTAAGTTATGTATAAAATTATTGCATGAATTTTAGCCTTTTTTTTTTATTAAAAAAAAATAGTTAAATGCATTACAAATCTACTTAGATGATCCGGAAGTAATTCCTAATCTCAATCCAAATAATATAAATTATTATTATTCTATTGTCAATGCGAATGGTAGTTTTTATTTTATTGCTATGGCATCTATGACTAATTACAGTTGGTCATAATTTATTATAATTATAACTACTTTATTCCTATTTTACTTATGTTTTATTTGAAAATTATATTTAGTGAATCAAAAACAATGATGATATTGTCTGAATGGTGAAATTAGATAGTTTTAAAGAATTTAAGATTTTCTATTGGTATAGTTGGTTTGTGCATAAATGTGCACCTAAGTCTTATCATAGGATATCAAGTTTTAAGCGATAGTCTTTTTTTTTTCTTGATTGCTATTCTCTAATTTTCAAACCATAAAAATCTCACATATTTTTCCTAATTACTGAAAATCATAGGTTGTATAATCAGTTTAAACTTCAATGACTCAAATAATAAGAAAAACTTTGTGGTCAAAATACCATAGAATTTTATGCATACCTTCATTTTGAATGATTCTCCTGTGACAAAGTTTTTTTGACATTTGGAGGCAAAAAATATGTGTTTTCAGGCAGATTTTTGATAGTTAATGTGATTAAAGTGTTTTTACATAAAGTCGAATATAATGATACAGGAGAGATTAGACCTAAAAGAAGATATCTGGGACCTATGCCTGGGCCGATAACCGCTAGTCTATTGTTTATAATAGAATGTAATTTGTCTAGAAATTAAAATTATAAAGATTCTCATTATAAATGTTGATTTTGCAATATTATCTCTCATTGTCCAATATTAGTTGGCAAATAATATTAAAAATTCCTAATTGCTTTTTTTATATATTTTGTTAGTGTAAATTAGATAAAATTCTTACAAACTAACATCTAGTTCTGGTATTAGAAAATACAATGGGAAAATTGAAAATTTTATTTCTGAGACAAATTAACTAGAATTATTCCTAATTTCTTTGCGCGATGGATGATCATTGGGTCACTGTAATTTGAAAAGCACACAATAAAAGAAAAATGAATGCTCTTCTATAACATCCTATCTGAAAAAATCTAGCTATACTTGCCATACATACAGTATTTATCATCATCACAAAATTTTGTTAGATAAAATTGTAGTAATATAATGTAATAATATCATATTTATAATAAAGCAGAATCAAAAAATAGAGTAGTTATTGTCTTTGAGGCAAAATTGCTAAATTTAGGCACATCAGATTTGTCTTTGTAAAACCTTGCCTTGAACAGCGAATGCATTTTATAGTCTATAAATGATAAAAGAGTAGAAAATAACTAATTTTTTTGTTGACCTCTCTTAATCACTTATAATGAAAATAAAATTGTCTTTAATAACAGATTGAATTAATATATTAATTTAAGGATATTATAATATAACGCTATCCCTTAAACCGTCCAGCGGCCAAATTTGGCCGCTAAAATCTTTTTTTTTTGATTTTGTGCGATTGTACTTGATTTGTCTAAACAATTGTACCCCCTTTCCTAAGCTCGAATCAAAGTTTGCCATTTCACAGAGCAATTCATGATTTTATATCACGTGATAGCAGTACATGATATCACAATTACATGTTAGTAGTACAACGATTATCTTTTGATCGCCATCAATTAAAAAGCAAAAAA